AAGAGTTCTACTAGCATGATCCCCATTGTACAGATGAAAACCTAGAGGTCTTAAGAGGTCAAGTGAATTGCCAGGGGCAGCCCCACCTGGTGAGGAACCGTGTAGGAGGTTATCATGAGCGTCTACCTGCTCACAGCTGCCCCAGCCACCTCCCGTGATATGAGTGTTCCCTTTCTGGCCTGAACAGCAACGGTCCAGCTAAGGCTATCTGTGACAAAGCATAAAGGGAAAAACATTTTTATATTAATATATATGGGAAGGTGCCATTTTTGTGTGTGTGTTTTTCTATGTAAGAAATGCCGTTTGGAAAGCCAGTGTGCATGTCAGTGTTGTTTTTTTTTTTTTTTTTTTTTCATTCTGAGAAAAAGCCTATAGAGTCTGGTGGGGGAAGGGTTTGCAGCTGGCAGGAGCTTTGGCATATGTTGTAACTAAAAAGAGAGGGAATGTGTTGGTGGGACAAGCTACCGGAGAGCTGTCTCGGTGTGCTGCGGTACTAGTAAGTGTTTTAATTGGGTAGGGTTTTTGGAGGACTATTTTGACATCTGCTCGTGTCTTTGCTGATTTTTCTTCACTTAGAGTAGGAAACACAAGCTGTGGATGAAATGACTTTAAAATAATTGGAAGTAAAGATATCTATCTCAAAGTCGAATCTGAGAGGGATACTTTTTAAGAAGTGGAAACTAAATCCCACTTCTAGGAATCCATCCTCAAGCACAAAGCTTTATGCCTGTAGATTTCATGACAATATTATCTATAATAATTTCCTTAAAACTAGAAATAACATCCAACAGAAAAGGGCTTGATTGAGTTCGTTTCTGTGTAGCTAAACACTCTGTAGTAATTAGTAATGATCTTTACCGACTGAGCTTTTAATGAAATGGGACATTGCTTACATTGTAATCGGTGAGAAAATCGGTACGAATCATTTACAGTTATTTCAACTATCTTTTAACAAGTAGAGAGGGAAGAATATGGAAGAAAATATACGAAACTGTTGCCTCCAAACAAAGGGATTAGGGCAACTATAATTTTCTTCTTTGAACTTTTCTATCTTTCCCATTTTTTATAGTAGGCGTGTAGAATTTTTATGACACAAAAGGAAAGTATTATTTTGTGTGTAAGAGAAAGCAGGCCCTGAGAGTGTTTTAGTATAAGTGCTTTCCCCGGACAGACATTGGTTCTCAAGTCTGAGCAGCTGAATTTGGGTTATCTTCAGAAAAAGGTAAGCTTTAGAGTCAGACTGTGTTCAGAAGTCGGCCTGGCCACTCGCTGGCTCTGTGACTTTGGGCAGTTTGTTTGACCTCTCTGAGCCTCCACCTACTCAGTCTTGCATGGAGACGCTGGTGTCTCCCCTGCAGCATGGGTAAGATTAAATGAGCTGGCACCAGCAATAGTCCAGCTTTCTTCTCCGTCAGCATTTCCCATCCCCCACCCCAGTTTGAGTTTTTCTTGCTGTTCTTCGGTCCTTTTGTTTCCTTGATCCTTTGAGGGATAGGGCACCATCCGGCTGAGCTGGCCTCTGATTCTTTCCTTGGGAACACTGAGCTTCAGGAAGGCCCTTGAGTCCATGCCAGCCCCTTTGGAAGAGGCCTTGCCACCAGGAGGGCAGCATTGTCTTTTAAGAGGAAACTGTGCCGACCCAGCTCCTGCCTGGAGCCCGGTGCTTGGGGCATTTTGGTTACTAAGGGGACCCTGGCCTGCTAAGTCAGAAAAAAGGGCCAGGTTTTTTCCTATTCTTCAGCCTGCTGCCATTGTTGAAAAAGTAAACACTCCACACAGCTTAACCGGCAAGTCCTCCAGCCAGGAGTGGGAAGAAATCAAAAGCCTATTGCAGCTCAGTGGTGGAGAGCCGACAAGGGCCAGTCTGTGCTGCCGGGGCCCACGGGAACAGAAACAAGGCCCGATTCTGGGCCAGAACCAACATCCTACTCACTAGGCCTTTCAGCCTCTGAGGCCTCTCTCCAATGGCCATTGCCTCGTGCCCCCTTCTGTTTGGGCCTATTTGGAAGGTCAGATGAGGAGAAATAGGTGGTTCTGGGGGCAGCAGCCTTCAGCTCAGTCCTCAGATCCTGGAGTCCTCGGCTGAGTTGGGAGCCCCCACTTGCCCTTGACCGATTCTGTTGCTTGTGACTGTGCCTCAGCCTCCCAAGGGAGAACTCAAGCAGTTACCAGGAAGGAGCCAGAAGGATTTTTGCCCCGAGGCCAGAGCTTTACAGACTAGACTGTGGCTGCTCTGTATAATAATAGTCACGACTAAAACCTCCTCTGTGCCTGGCACTGTGCATATGTTACCTGTATTCCTCCAGCAGCCCGGGGGTTGTGGGGTCAGGGGGTGGTCACAGTTAGCACTGCAGTTTTATAGAGGAAGAAGCTAGTGAGTAGACCGTGGGCAAGCTACTGCACTTCTCAGAGCCTCAGTTTCTCATCTCTGAAACGGGAATAGTGACACCTCTAGCTGCACTAAAGGAAATGGAAGACTCCGTGTGGCAGTGTTTTGGGAATCCTGAAGTGTGACATCTGTGAAAAAGGTGGTTGTTGGTGCTACTTTTGTAACTTCCTACCAGCAAACAGCTAGGCATTTAACCTGTGGGGTTGCAGAGTGAGGCGGGTAAGGAGCCCTAGACAATTCTCTGTGAGTCTTAATGTTCTCCTCTATAAAAAGAGTATTTGTTCTTTGCAAAGCAAAAATGCTGTAAAACACTCATTGGTATTATAATATCAGACTTCACCATTGGCTGATATCTTTTCTTTGAGATAGAGTCTCACTGTGTTGCCCTCAATAGAGTACTGTGGTATCACAGTTCACAGCAGCCTCAAACTCTTGGGCTTAAGTGATTCTCTTGCCTCAGCCTCCCAAGTAGCTGGGACTATAGGTGCCCACCACAACACTGGGTTATTTTTTTGTTGTAGCTGTCATTGTTGTTTGGCAGGCTTGGGCTGGGTTCAAACCCACCAGCTCCGGTGTATGTGGCTGGCACCCTAGCCATTGAGCTACAAACGCCGAGCCTGCTGATATCTTTTTAACCCATAAATAAGACAGCAGTTAGTATGAAGGGAGAATCAACTTATAAGCTGGCAATCTTGTCCTCCTTTGTGACTCTCAGCCCATAGTTAAGAACTTAGGAAATGTTTAAGAATTGATGGATAGGTTTGTGATCTAGCCCCCAATGGCCAGCAGGGGTTTGAGACTCTGGTTGTGTTAAGTGGGTGAATTCTAGGATTCTGCTTCCTGGGAGTGTCTTTTCAACCCTAGGAGGCCCCTGATCAGCATAGCTCCACTCCCCGCGGAAGAATCTTGGAATGTTCACTCAGGTACCAAGTTCTGTCCTAGGGCCTGGGGTTTGAGAGGGTGAATGTCAACCGGTGTTAGTGATCACTTACCATGTGCCATTCTGTGAAGTGCTGGTTATTTTGCAGTGGTGAGGCCCTTATACCCCAGGAAGGGCAAGCAAGCAAAGGGGGGCTGGGGTTCAGAGTGGCAAGGGCTGTGTGGAGGTCAGTCTCACTGAGCATATCTGATGGCAAGGAGGGAGGTGGTGCCATGCTGAGCATGGCCTGCGGAGGCGGCCGGTCCTCTGTTACCTCTAGCTCTTCCTCACCTCTGAGCCTCATTTTCCTCACCTTATGTACCAGGAGGGCAATAATGTCCACTCTGCAGGGCTTTAGAAAAACCGAATGAGGTAAAGTAAGCGCAGAACAAGAACTAGTAGGCTCCTAGTACATTGTAATTTTAATTGTCCATTTCCAAGGCATTGGATGTCTAGCTCTGTTGCTAAGCCTACACAGTGCCCTGTGGCGAATTAGGAAAAGGCATCTGCCCCCCTTCACACACTGAAGTCACACAGCAGGCACACAGGTTGCCAGATTTTAGGCCCAGCTTGGCTGTTCGAGCAGCCGTGGGGGATGCAAACCTGCACCGTCACATACAGGGAGTTCAGAGAGTGATTCACACTGAAATCCATCCCTCATGTAGGTCTGACCATGTGTCCCATTGTCTGCCCTTTGCGCTGGTGTAAAATGCCTCCTTTCACATCCACAAGTGTCCCTCCCAGTATGGACAACAAATTATAGGATTTTTCTACTTAAAGAGGGCAAAATAAATAAAGACACAGTTCTAAAGTTTAACACTCAAAAAGGAATGAGCTTGATTTTGATGGGGTAGCAGTATTGAATGAGACTGGGAGTGGCGAATAGGCAGGAGAAGGATGAAGATGGACTCTAGCAACAGATAAATAATGTGATTAAATTTAAAACTCAGGCTACACACTGTCTTGTACCAACACAGACTGGGGAGAGTTGCTACCGATTTAGAGAAGGAAGCACTTTTATTCTGTCTATCTTCTCTTCACCCTTCTCCCATCAGCAGACTTGAGTACCTCGTGGCCGTGAGTCTCCCACACCTTTTTCACTGTCCTAATAGATAATGGCCAGAGCCTTGGAGACATTACTAGCTGGATTTCTGTGGAAAATTGGACCAAACTAAAAGTGGGAGCTTCCTACTCAGCATTTAAGGAAAGCATGAACGGTAGACCATATACCACATTCCACGCTCAAGAATGACAAGTCCAAAAGGGAGAGGGGCAAGCAGGCTTTGGTGAATGAGAGAGAGGTTGAGTGTGGGTGTCCCGAGAGCCTGGTTGTGTGTCAGAGTTCCTGGAGACAGAATTTTAGACTTCAGCTTCCTTAAAAAATAAGCAGGAAGAAAGTGATGATGAGGTGTAAAGATCTCTCTTACTTTCTAGCCCTGTGACCTAGGGCATGTTACTGAGCCTCTGCAACATGCTTTTCACCCTGGGACGTAAGATCACGCAGGGTTACAGAGGTTTTGTGAGAGCTGCATGAGCTAACAAATGTGAACCACCTAACATTGGGCCTGCTGTGGAGTGGGCCTTTGTCACTGTCACTTCTCTTCCCTCAGCCCCTTCCCCAGAGAAGGCCTGGGAAATGCGGGTCCTGATGGCACTTCAGTGACTTTCTCTTCCGGATTTTTTTACTTGCAGAAAGTCAGAAACATGGCCCTGGATGATGTCGTGATCCTGAACGTGGACACCAACACGCTGGAAACCCCCTTTGATGACCTCCAGAGCCTCCCAAATGATGTGGTGGGTAGTGAGCTCCCACAGCGGAAATGAACATGACTTTGGGGGTTGTGGAAGGAGAGACAGCCGCTACCTTCCTGTGGCCTAAGAACTGTGGTTTGTTTCCCGGCTCCCTCCAGAACCTTTGTCTCCATGTAGAAAGTTAGATGGGGCTTTGTATTTGAGTCTTGGTTTGCTCTTCCGACTTTGATCTGAAAGACTGTGACGTGGTCCCCATGTCTAGATACCACCTCTGTCTGGGAGCCTAGGGGTCTTGCCCCCTCTCTCCAGCACTTGGTCATCTCCAGAGACCAGACAGATCCTCTGAGTGCCACCACAAAACGCAGGTGGGAGGGCCTTCCATGTGGGTGACTTGGGATACTTCAAACTTACCTTTTTTACCCCCAGACCACCATCAAACTGCCATTTCCCCACGCAGCAGAATATCTGATGCCAGACCTGTGAATATGGCTGCGTGTCCTCCATCACTCTCCATTACCTCAGGTCTAGACAGAAGGCATTTCCACTGAGTAGAAAGTAGCTGGCTGCCACGCACCACGCTAAAATCTGACTGCACCCCTGTCTCGTGTTGCTGCTCTGCGCTGCCTTGTGGGCAGCTGTCTGAACTACACACATCCTCCCCCATTGCCTACACAAATGAGGATTGGGCTTCACGGGAAAGTGTGGTTTTCATGTTTCTGGTTTAACCTCCATGGCTCTGCCTGTTAGAAGAGCTAGAAAGTTATTCTGACTTTCAGAATGAAAGGAGTCGATCTTTCTGGCCCTATGGTGCTGATATGGGGCTAGGATTTGTGTCTTGGTCGGGAAAGTGCTTTATCTGGAGGCACTGATGCCGAATCACTGCCAGGAGCCCCAGTGACACTGTGCGGTTCTGTAGAAACTGCTGTTTGTTGATGAATGACTTACAACAGGATTTGAAACTTCTCTACTCCTAATTTGCCGTGAAATTATTCAGGGAGTCATTTGTCTCTATAACGATGCCTTGTTTGTAACATAATTAAGTAGTGGCCACCGTTCATTGACTTGCTCTGCTGGGCACTGTGTCATTGACCTCTCACTTCCTCTTCACCCCTCTCTGAGGGAAGGCATTGTCCTTTCTCCCACTTTACCCACAGAGCTAGAGGGAGGTGGGACCAACCTGTGAACCCGCCCTGTGGGTTCACCGGGCCCCACTGCCCTGCAAGGTGCCTTCTGCATTCCAGGTCTCATTCAGTTAGCATCTTGGCCCCATGGAGTGGGTGTTCTCTTCTTTTTTATAGGGAGAAAAGAACCTTAGCACATGACTTGCCACAAATCCACAAATCCTATGGCTGGTTAGGAGCAGAGCTGAGATTAGAAACCTGATCTGGGTGACACCAAAGCCTGTGCTGCCTCCATTCTGTCTACACCACCTCCCTCTGAGGCAGCGAGAGGTGACAGAACTTAGGAAGATGAAACTGCTGTACAGGTGCAAGAATTGCAGGTAATCAGGTCAGGACAGGGTACATGGTTGGTGTCCTAGGTCCTGGTGGCCATAATTTAATAGTTCTTTTGGTCTAAGGAATCTGAGACTTCCATTGCTATTTCCTTTCAGAGGACAAGTACCTCTTTAAGCCACAGTATCTTAGGCGTGGACCAGGCAGTTGACTGTGGGGCATGAACCTGAGGCATGTCAGGTGCGAGAAATGGCCAAGAGCTGTGGGGGAGCAGGAGATGATGGTGACTGGCAGCTCAGAAGGCATGGAGTGGACTGACAGGTCCCACCTGCACTGCTCTGGCCCCATGCTGTCACTGAGTAAAAAGAGGAAGCCGATCTTCAAAGAGTCTATGCCGGTAGGGGACACAGATGTGTCAATCACATATAAATTATAGTATAGCGTAATGGGAACCACAGGGAAACAGGAAGCAGGCACAGAAGGGCCCAGGAGAGAGAATAACAAAATTTGGGGGCGTATAATGGAGACTTCCTAAAGATGGCAGGTTCTAGGATGCCTTTTAAAGATAAATGAGGTGGCCTTAGGAAACCACAGTAATTTGGGCAAGTTATGTTCTCCCTCAGAGCCTCAGTTTCCCACTTTGAAAAAGGAATCCTAGGCCTGCTCTTAGACTGATTATGTCATATAACAATGGAGGAATGTTCACTAAATGCTCTCCACAGTGCTTGCATGTTGTCCGCATTCAATAAATGATACCTGTATTCGTTTTTAATCAAAATTATTGTTGATTATTGCAGGCAAGATTTGGGGGCAATGAATTCCTCCCATGTCCTGACAGTCTCACCCTGTGCATCAGGACCTCCTATCTGCGGCTAGTCTGTAACAGGGCTGCGAATGTTCTATAGCAGTGGTTTCCAGCATGGGGCTCTAAATTAATTATGGATTCTGAAGATGGTAGTGGAGGCTGACTGGGCTCCATAAAGTACTTACTGTATGTCAGTGGATTCATAGATGTGAATAATGCTACATAAGCCCTCAATTTCTCAAGAGGAGAAGTTATTTCCTTTTTATTTTCATGTCCTTGCATTTGGCATAGGACCTGGTACTTTTGGTGTATCAACATGCCCATCCTTGACCTTATAATCTCCCCTTTTGTCAAAGCTGCATATTTACTACACGTGCCAAATTCTGCTTCTTAGACATTTTGTAAATCCCCATCCTCTTCTTCATTCCCCCCAAACCAGCACCTAACCCAAGCTTTTATCTTACGCCTGCCCTTTTACCAGCAGCCTCAAAATTGTTGCATCAGGCACATCTTCTTTGTGCACCAGAGTGACTTTTCTCAAAATATAAACTAAACTTTATTTCCCTCCTATTAGAACAATGAATATAATTTTTAAATCTTTTAAAGACAAAATGTCTTTCCATAACGTCCATTGCCTGTAGATTCAAGGCACGTTCCCTTTGATGGATTTGGAATCAGGCAGACTAGTGTTTAAATCCTGGCTTCCTAATGACCATGTGTTTTTTGGGTTTTTTTAGAGACAGAGTCTCACTTTATTGCCCTTGGTAGAATGCCATGGCATCACAGCTCACAGCAACCTCCAGCTCTTGGGCTTAGGTGATTCTCTTGCCTCAGTCTCCTGAGTAGCTGGGACTACAGGTGCCTGCCACAATGCCCAGCTATGTTTGTTTTTGTTGTTGCAGTTTGGCCGGGGTGGGTTCGAACCCGCCACCCTTGGTATAGGGGAACAGCGCCCTACTCACTGAGCCACAGGTGCCACCCCTGACCATGTGGTCTTGGGGGAAATTGCTTAAGCTCTCTGATTCTTAGTTTCTTCTTAAGGCTGTTGTGAAAATTAAGTGTAATATATTTAAAACATGTATCCTGTAAGTGCAGTGGGCAATAGTTGATGATGAATTATGGATGTAACTGATGGTTAACATGGCATTCAAGGCCCCTTTCATGACGCGATCCTCCCATTTTGGAGAGAGGGAGCATTTCTATAGCTTTGGTCCTGTCCCCTCCGTGCTTCAAACTGTATATTATATGTTGCTTCAGAACTTAGTACTTTGCAAACAGGGTGTCCCACCTCATCTATTAATTTTTTACTAATTCTTCAAGACTTATTGTAAATACTATTCTCTCTTTTTTTTTTTTTTTTTTTTGGCATTTTTTGGCCAGAGCTGGGTTTGAACCTGCCACCTCTGGCATGTGGGGCCAATACCTTACTCCTTTGAGCCACAGGCACCGCCCAATACTGTTCTATTTTTTTCAAAAATTCCCTGATCACTTCAAATAGATTTAAGGATAGCTTTCTCTTTCTCTTTCTCTATGTCCCTAGCCCCTTGTGCTGCTCATATAATTCTACTGATTTATCACCCAGTTCTGTCCTTTGCCTTTTAATTGTGAGTTCTTTGAGGGGAGGAATCAAGTTTTACTTTTCTTTGTTTTCCAAGGATCTAACAGCCACTGAATAGATAGAAGGGTAGACGGCACATATGGGTTGGGTTATTTTGGTAGATGAAATCTTGCAAAGCATGGCATCCATGCTGGAAACTTCATTAAAAGAGGCCTTGGTTCTGCTCCTAACTACAACAGAATAATTGGAATGGGATTAATCTTCCCACCATTAACAATTAAAACTCTGGACAAATATGAAAAGAACTGTTTTCACATCATGGACAATAGACAGTTCCGGACTGTGATCCCTGAGAGAAAGGAAGTCAGGGAGAGGAGGCCTATCCCACTGCTTTCTGCCTCGAGGAATTTTCTGGACACTGGTTGGTCCTAGGAGGGGAATCCTCAGCAAAGCACACTACTAGTCTTACTGAGTTGAAAGTTTAAAGAACTGTTTGAAGGAGAAATGGTTTAAGTCTATGGATGAAAGTACTAGACAGGAGGGAGCTATTCAGCAAAAGAGTTCCAGAAATCTGAATCGACTAACCTGCTAACAACTAATCTGCCCATGTGTAGGGTGAAACTCCTGACAGGGGGCTACAAGATAAATAGTTCTCAGAGCTCACACAGATCTAGGAATTATTCCAGTTCTGACCAGCCAGAGTAAAGAGATCATACTGAGCTCTCAGGACAATCACAAGTGACCCGAGGAGGCCATGACTGGATAGTAGGTCTCAATTAGCTCTAGAGTAAAGGTTATTTTATCCCCGCCATGCAGAACTTAAAACTTGGATTGAGAAGCATAGGACAGGGGTTTGGGGGTGTTAGTAATATGCCGGGTTTTTATCTGAATGCCCATTACACAGGGAAGAAGTCGTCAAGCTCTTTGCCAATAGCGTGTGCCTTTTTGTGTGTGTATGTTAAACTTAAAGAGTTTTAAACAAACCTGTTTTTTAAAAAAGCCTTTAAAAGATCAATCTGATGGGTAAGAAATCTAACCACCTGTAAAAATAAACTTCAACTCTCTGTAAAAGAAGGCAACAAAATCTAACACTTCAACAACATAACATTCCCAGTATTTGACATTCTATTTTGAAAGTATAAGACATGTTGAATACCAGAAAAATGTCACCCCATTGAAAATTAGTCAATGGAAACAGATTCAGAAATGACAGATATTATAGAAT